AACCTGGATATCTGGGCTATTACTGTGGAGGAGAGAGCAAAACATGATCAGCAGTTCCACAGCCTGAAACCAACAGCTGGATTTATCACTGGTAAAGAAGGAGTTTTCATTCCAATTCCATTTAATTAAATCTTAACTGGTGAGCTGAAATGTGTGCAGAGTTTCCTGGGAGACATATGGGCATGAGAACTAAAAAAAATTGATCAGATATTTCTCATTTTATATCCCACTTTTCATGTGCCTTCTGATGTTTTCTGCCATTTTCTCTTCCCTCTCCCTATATTTTCATGGACACCACTAATTACTTTGGTTTCAAAGGCAGCAGGAGGCCTCCTCTTTGGTTTCCTGCTGCATTTGATTTCCTTTAGTGCTGTGTAAATGGACATCACAGTCACAGAGGGTGGGGCTGGGAGGGACCTCCAAGCCCACCCAGTGTCACCCCTGCCATGGGCAGGGACACCTTCCACCAGCACAGGGTGCTCCAACCTGGCCTGGGACACTTGCAGGGATCCAGGGGCAGCCACAGCTTCTCTGCCCAACCTGTGCCAGGGCCTGCCCACCCTCCCAGCCAGCAATTCCTTCCCAATATCCCATCTATCCCTGCCCTCTGGCAGTGGGAAGCCATTCCCCTTGTCCTGTCCCTCCAGCCCTTGTCCCCAGTCCCTCTCCAGTGATGCTCAGTTGAAATTAAAGATACAGAAGTGCGTTGCTTTCCTGCTCTCTGATCCATCAAGAAGATTTTCAGAGTGACAAATCAGGATCACATCCTCAATGGAATTTCCTCACATCCACTCTCACCTGGGTGTCCAACTCCATGGTTTCTGTTCCTGGCCCATGACAGATATGGTACAAAATCCTACCAGGTCGATTGACCTCCTTTGATGATTTCTCCTGTTTCTGATTTGTTTGCAACTTTCCTTTGCAGGCCACAGCATGCCCCAGTGCCCAATCCCTCTGTCACTGTTTTGCTATCCGTACTTTCCATGGGTAGTTGGGAAATGGCTTTGAAATACAGCATTACTTACTTTGTTAGTGGCCTATCACTTTATTTGATTTTACTTACCACTTTGTTTGGTTTGTGCTGTCTGACTGGCACTGCACTTCCAAAGAATCCAGGATAGACTTTGTGTTGGTACAGCTTTCCCTGGAAGGAGAACTTTCCTTGTTTTCACAAGGTATCTGATTCCACATGACTGGGGACTGGGAGTCCCCCTGAGTGCCCATTCCCAGGTGACTCTGAGTGGTGCTGCCTGTTGGAAACATGTGGTGGGTTTACAAATCCCCAAATATGTTTCAGTCTCACACTCTGTTATGTAAGTGTGGCATTAACTATTTATGGTTTTCAACCTGTTGCTCCTCTTACAGATATTTTTGACTCCTGATTTCCCCTCCCCTCTGCCAGGTATTTATAGATGTCCTATTTATTTTCCAGGTGATCAAGCCAGGAACTTTTTTTTTCAGTCTGGGTTACCTCAGCCAGTGTTAGCACAGATATGGTGAGTATGGGGTGGGGTGGGACAAGGGCAGCCCCAGCAGAGTGGCATTTACTGGGACAGACTGGGACAGGGACTGTGGGGGGTGGGAATGCACCCAAATCCACTTGGATTCCCCAGGGCTGGGGCCAGTGCTGTCTGATGTCTGTACTGATGGTCTGGATGAGGGGTCAAAGGCACCCTCAGCTCCTGGATGACACAGATTGGGTGGGAGTTGATGCTGCGGGGCAGGAGGGCTCTGCACAGGGATCTGGACAGGCTGGATCCAAGGATGGACAGGCTGGATCCTGGGATGGACAGGCTGGGTCCTGGGATGGACAGGCTGGGTCCTGGGATGGACAGGCTGGATCCTGGGATGGACAGGCTGGGTCCTGGGATGGACAGGCTGGATCCGGGGATGGACAGGCTGGATCTGGGCACAGACAGGCTGGATCCAAGGATGGACAGGCTGGATCCTGGGATGGACAGGCTGGATCTGGGCACGGACAGGCTGGATCCTGGGATGGACAGGCTGGATCTGGGCACGGACAGGCCAGCACTGTGGGGGACGCATCAAGGCCCAGTGCTGGGTCCTGCCCTTGGGTCACACCATCCCCCTGGAACAGTCCAGGCTGGGGAAGGGGTGGCAGGAAAGCTGGAAAAGGCCCTGGGGCTGCTGGTGAGAGCAGCTGGACACGAGCCCAGCTGGGCCCAGGGCACCTGCTTTGGATGAGGAATATTTTGGGCACAGCCCAGGGCAGGGATTGTCCCCTGTGCTGGCACTGCTGAGGGACCCCCAGGGCTGTGTCCAGTTCTGGAACCTCCTGGAAGAGACACTGAGGGGCTGGAGCGTGTGCAGGGAAGGGAAGGGAGCTGGGAAGGGGCTGGAGCAGCAGGAGGGGCTGAGGGAGCTGGG